CCCCACCTCGGTCCGTCAGGCACGGGTGGGGAGGCAGGACTCCCGTGTCCTCGCTCAGCCCTGCCACACTCCTCACTGCACACACAGGGAAAGGGCCCCCCCTCCGCCGAGACCTCGGGGAGATCTTTGGGGGAGGGGGATTCTCAGGCCAAGAGGCAGGATTCAGCCCCCTGATTTATGGGGCGGTGGCGAGAACAGAACCAGCATCCTGACTCTCCAAGCAAACCCAACGGGCTTCCCCAACTGGCTGGGCCGCTCGCCGGGTGTGGAGAGCACGTGGCGCAGCTCGGCCCCCATGACGGTGCCGTTCCCCTCCTTGTCGAAGACCCGCAGCCCCTCCACGTAGTCCTCGAAGGAGCCCTGGTCCTTGTTCTTGGCGATGGTCTGCAGCAGGGGCAGGAATTGCTCAAAGCTCAGCGTCTTGGTGTTCATCTCTGGCGGGAGCAGGGGGCGCGGCTGAGACCCCAGCAAGGACTGGGGCTCTCTCAGCCGCTGGCACAGCACCTCCCAGGCTCCAGAGCAGGGCAGGCGCCCAAGGCCCTGAGGGGCACCGGCCATTCTGAAGAGGCGTTTGAGGAGGGCGCTCGGGGGAGCAGAGGTGGGGGTTGTGTCGACAGGGCACAGTCAGGGCCTACAATAAAGCCGGGTGGGAAATCAGAGATTCCCCCCAACCCCCTGCTTCTCCCACACCGCAGTGTGGGGGTTCAGCCACTCCCCTGGGATGGCAAAGATCCAGGTTCAAGTCCCTTCGCTGGGAGCTGCATGCAGGTTGCCCACAGCCCAGCTGAGCCTGGGCCACTGGTACACGGGCTATTCCAGGGAGGGGTCGGCCTGTCTCGTTCCAGCCTACACCCAGAAACCTCCTCAAGCACGGCTCATCCTGGGCCCTTTGATGCAAAACTTTCCCACCCCGCTGCAGGGCAGGGGAGCAGAGAACAGACTTGGAGCTCAGACAAGAGTTTCACCTCCTTGTTCCATGCCACACAGCCAGCCGCCCAAAGCAGGGGGTCTCCCCCCACCTCTAAGTGTTAAGCCAGCTCGGGCCCCAACGTGCCAGGATCTCAGCCCAGCCAGCGGGGCCAGGAGAAGACACCCCCCCAGTCCCAGGGAGGGAGGGGGCCTGGCTATCACTCACCATCGCTCTTGGGGTTCCCCAGCACCTTCATGACCTCGGCATTGGTGGGGTTCTGGCCCAGGGCCCGCATCACGTCCCCACATTGGCTGTACAGGATCCGGCCATCCCCAGTGCGGTCGAAGAGCTGGAAAGCCTCCTTGAACTCTAGAGGCGGGGAGAGAGCCAGGAGGGGTCACGGCACAAGGAGCCGCGGTCCCCGATGCGTCCCTGACCCTCAGTCAGCACCTTCATGACCTCGGCATTGGTGGGGTTCTGGCCCAGGGCCCGCATCACGTCCCCACATTGGCTGTACAGGATCCGGCCATCCCCAGTGCGGTCGAAGAGCTGGAAAGCCTCCTTGAACTCTAGAGGCGGGGAGAGAGCCAGGAGGGGTCACGGCACAAGGAGCCGCGGTCCCCGATGCGTCCCTGACCCTCAGTTCGGACAGGCACCAGCAACGCCCCTTGGCCAACCCCCATCCGCCCGGCTCCGCTCCGGCCAAACCATAGATCCGGAAGCGT